CTTCAACTTTATATAAATAGTTAAACATTTGAGCAGGGGCTTGAATCTGTCTCCCACTTTCCACCTAAATGCCTCAGTCACTGGCTAGAGAGTCAGGTTTCTCTACATTGCAGAGTTTCATTGACAAAAGTCAGCTTTTGTAGACAAAGAAGTTGCAGTATATGTTCATGTTCCTTCCACTGACAAAACAATACCACCTTCTGAAAGGTACAGAGCTTTACACAGCAAAGTTGCATTGACAAAATGTATAGACACTGCGCTTGGTTCTGTCTCTGTAAATAGTGCCCACATAGTGTCCCATAATGCCAATCCTGATCGCTCTGGTCAGCTGTTCAAACTCTGCTGCTCTGCACTCAGGTACACAGATGTCTTCCCCTCTTCCTTTACGGCCCAGGAATTTTTGAAATTCCACTTCCTGTTTGCTCACATAGTCCCAATCAACTGTGGTGGTAGCAGCTCCACATGTCAAATGCTCTCTGATCTGGTCTGGATCTGCTGACTCTATGATTGTGTACTCTCAGCTCCACTCCAGCTCTAGGAACTTTGATACCTATAGTCAGATTTATCATGGCATGTTGGAGAATGGGTACAAACAAAACACTCATCAGTGCCATGCAAAGATCAAGGAGCTGAGGCAGGTGTACCAGTAGACAAAGGAGCAAACCATTGCACTGGTGTTGTGAAGAATACAGGCTGCTTCTGTAAGGAGCTGGAGACCATCCTCAGGAACGACCCCACCTCCATCATAACAAGCCCTGTGGATACTTCAGAGGGGCTGATGACAGCAGACTCAACCCTGAGAACAAAATCATGAATGAAGGGAATGAGTTGAAGGATGATGCAAAACACATAGAAAGACCATCTTGTGGTGCAATAAGTCAGGATCTTGTTTCCACTCCAAAGGGGTCTATCCCGGCCAAGCCATCTATGCATGATGCAGGAGAAAAAACTAAGTGACCTTTTGACTTGTTGCTGTTGGGTTATATTAGGTAAAGCTATGTTTTAGTTTGTATATTATAAAAGTGGTTGAAGGTACAGAAATGTACAAGACTCGCTGTGTTTTGTGCATGTTTTACATTCTCTTGTGCAGCTAATCAGTGCAATGGAACAGTGTGTTAATGCACACTGAGATTTCACTGGAATCCTCCAGAGAGCTCCATAAGAAACTAGCTTAGAGGTATTCAGCAATCCTTTGCCAAAGAGACCTTGGCAGAGCTGTTTTCCCTGCTGTCTCCTTCACTATTTAGGAAGCTGTCCCAAGCCCATTGTCAATCACTTGCACAGGAACCAAAGCAGCATACAGGCAAGTAACGCAGAGACCTTGTCTAAAGCAACGTGCATTCAGGCAATACATCTTTGCATTGCTGCTTATTCTCAGGAGTGAGTTATCTGCTTCAATAACACCTATCTGGGGAAAACTATGGTAATATTTACAATTTTGTCCCTAGTTGGCTGCAATGATGCCCTTTAAAAAAATAACAAAAATCTTTGCCTGTTGTAAAATACTGGGTTCAACAGTTAGCATAAGGCTCAAGGTTTATGAACATTGGCATTGATAAATGGCATAACAACTAAGTGCTGGGGAACTGGAAAGTGAGTGTGTAAGGGAGAATTTGGCCCATAATTGCATCTGTCAACAACAGGAACATAAGCTAACACTGGCTTTTGAATAAAACATTTACGGATGTGTGACCACAAGAGAGCCTTAGCAACTAAATGAACAGGTTCCACCACCTCCAACCCACACTCACCATATTTAGGGTTTTCACCAAGCTATGTGTTTGCCAGGGGATGCTGAGAATCAGTTTTTAAAACTGCATTATACGATGATTCAATGCTGTGCTTGCACTAATAATCATGCTTCTTTGTATTGTTTCTTGCACTCCTGCAGATGTGACTGTGAGTGGAACTCCCTACACACAGGCAGTGTGCCTCTGCCAAATAAGGAAGCCACCAAGAAGAAGCAAGGAGGATTTGTTTCTAAAGATCCTCCAGTCCTCAAAGACCAAAAACAAGAATGCAGGGGTCTGAACAGAGACTTTAAAAGAAAATTATAAAATAGACAGGACTGAAAGGAGAGCCTGGAGAGGATGATAAAAGTGACGGAGAAGCAAACAGAGATGTTGAAGTCCCTAATCATGCTGCAGGCAGAATTCATGTGTGCTTAGCCCCTCTTGCAGCTCATACAGAACTGCTTTCCATGCCCTCTCCAAATTCCTCCCACGCATTACTTGCAACTTCTTAGGCAATTTCAGTTCCCTGTGTACTCCACCCCTTCACACACCTTCCAAAATGATAGTTGTAATTACACACAGCTGTCAGAAGACACACTGTGGATCATTCATTGTTAAGTTTTCACCCTGAGCCTGCAAATATTGAACAATGCATAAGCAGGTTGCCATGATCTTGGAAATATTTCCTTCATTTAAGTCTAACATGACAAAGGCACATTGAATAGTCTTCCCACACCTGCTCAGTCTATTGCTAAAGCACTCCTTGCTGCTTTCATGTTTTCCTGAGTAAGTTTTCATGGGCCATAGAAATAAGGGGATCAAGATGGGCATTTCAACAGCCTCCACTGGACTCTTCTGGTCTGGAAAGGTCCCTTCTTGCAGCTTTCTGTACAGGTCTGTGTTTCTGAAGAGGCATGCATCATACACGTTGCAGGATCACCCCACATTGATGTCAGTGAAATAGCCATGGCCATCTACAAACTCCTGCAATACCATAGAGAAATACCCTTTCCTGTTGATGTACTCTATTGCAGGATGGACCAGGGTGAAAATTGATGCGTTTATGCCGCAGTTAGGGTATCCTATTGCTCCAAAGCCATCCACTATTACAGTTTTATCTATTGTACGAGGATTTAATTAAGGACCCTGCACACTTGAATTAACTCACCCCCAATGGTGGGCTTCCAAACTACAAATGGATTCACAACTAACCGGTAGCAGTCACTAGCTTCCACATGAAAATCGCCATAATCTTCTCCAACAAGAGAGCAGCTCTCTTTTTGGTGCCCTTCTGCTGCAGGGCTAGTATGAGTTCAGTGCACAGTTCCAAAGAGGTGGCTTTCCACCTTGAAAATTCTGCAGCCACAGCTCATCATCCCAGGATACACAACAGTGTGATCCGACCACTCGGTGATTGTTTTCCAAGCTCAAAAGTAACAGTTTACCATATGCAGCTGATCAGTGAATGCCAAAATACCCTGGCATTCTATCTTTCCATAGCACACAGTAGATGAGCCACCTCTGATTCCTGTTCAGATTGGGTACTCATGATAAACTGCATGATCAGCTGTGATGTTTTCATAAGCGTGACCACAACAAAAGAAAGCAATGCAAGAGCCACAGTTTCAGACAGACGGTGGGCATAGAGTGAACAAGAACCACTGAAAAATGCCACAAAATGCAGTCAGAAGCTCATGGAATGATGGAATGGAAAAAACTACATCATGAGACATTGATCCTGTACTGATGAAGCACTGATCTATTCCACCTTCCCACAACTCCTACCTGCAGAAGGTGGCGAGTAGCACAATGGGAAAGCTACTCACAGTGACCTGGTCTCATTGTCAACGCTAAAGCACCAACTGTGGCCGTACTCTGTTGACAGAATGAGCGTCATGAGAACATGAATAAGCAATGTAATTATACCTTTTTTTTTATAGTCAGTGTAACTTGCATCTAAAAAACTCTGTAGTGCAGACAAGTCTTCAGTCTTTCCCTCAATCAAAAATTAATTATTTATACAGAGTGTAACAAATCTATCAGCAGAGACTGAGAAGACTGATTACATCCTGGTAGTTAAGGCCCTCAACTGTGATATGGGAGACCTGAGCTTAGCCTGGAGACAGAATCTCTCACTTCCCAGGTAAGACCTTATATTTCTTGACCAATGCTAATTTAG